ACGATGTAAGAATTAATCTACTGAACAAAGGGAATTAGCAAAATAAGAATTAGAAAGAAAGACACTTCTATGTACTGACCATGATTTGATTGTTCTATTGTTGTGCGTATACTGCCATGGCTTCTTCGTTTCTACATTGTATTTGAATAAGATTCGATTTGTTTATTTGTATTTGTAAATATTTTTCTATCAATATTTCTGTTATTTTTTTCCTAGCGTATGATTTGATATTACGAAAATGGGGACATTTTCATTTTTCATTTTTCGTTGGAAGGGACAGTGTCACCAATCTGATGTGGTACCCGCATACACGTATGACATGACAATTGCATTCAATTGTCTATGTCAATACGTGTTAACTTTCCCATGCTTATTACTTTAATGTTCACATTCCTACACCTATATGTAATATCTAATGTATTGTTTAAAACCTAAACCATATTAACACTTTTATACACGCCGTGTCAAACGTCACCATGACTGTCTAGCACTCCTTATTTGGCATGTTAGTAAGTTCTAACCAATCACGTTGACTTGTGCTAGGCGTCGTAGTGACGTCACGATATCACGTGGTTTGACTTATAAATAGGGGGACTGATGAGAAAGAGGGAGCGGAGGTTATACGGGAGGTCTGTCTCTAGGCGTGGCTGTAAAGCCATCGCCTGGAAACCAAGTTTACACTTCACTGTATTATCACTGTATCTGATGTCTCCACGAATAAATATCCTGATTGTATCACCATTACCCTCAACAGTTCAACAGTTCAAAATATGAGTCTGTTACAGTATATAATTTAGTTAATATGGTGTTTAGTTAATGTAAAATATGTGAAAAATGTAGACCATGGCGATGTACATTTTTGAAATCAATAAACATTCACATTTACAATTTATATTTTGCTAGAAAAATCATTTCAATTTTTAATTTGTATTGTTTTAGCTTTGAACTGATAAGGATTCAGCATATTTATAAATTAATGTTTGATAAATGACCACTTTTTGATACCACCTAAAATTAAAATCAAGCACAATGATACTAGTTGCTGTACCATTCATGATATTAGACCATTTTTGGGAGTGACGTAAACGTATATATTGATGCATCTTATAAACGGGATTGGTATATATATATTTGTATTTGTATTCATGTTTTCAGGTAAATACAAATGGCATTGTTTCCTTTATAATGGAAATACAACAGTTTACCCCAGAACCATTCCCTCTGGGTAACAACTGGCGTGTTGTTGCGCCGTTTTGGGCTGATGTTGACACAAGAAATGGAGGAAACGTGTTCTGGCGTCAAACCACTGATGCTAAAATTCTTGAAAGAGCTGCTCGTGATGTAATCACAAATGTAGTAGACCAACCCCACTTCAATGCAATATGGGCGTTAATAGCAACATGGGACAACGTTGGTTTCTACGGTGGATCGTCGAACACTTCGGTAATTTTACTATGAATTGTTGCATTGGTTAGTCAGATAGTATGGAAGTATATTTGAAAAGCAGTATAAGTTACATTGCTCTCTCGTTCTCAACGAAATCTCTTGCGCTTCCTTTATCATTTGATGAAGTACAGTGTAATACAGTGTTTTTGTTTTGTACAACATACGTATATACTAATATATTTGATAAAGATATAATAATAACCACATTGTATATCTTGCCAGAAAAACACTTTCCAAGCAGTGCTTATAACAAATGGACGTCATTCGTTTACTATTTTTAATTATGGAGATATAACATGGACCACAGGCATGGCAAGTGGCGGTGATGACAATGGTCTTGGAGGAAAGCCTGCTAAGGTAAATCATCGGTGCAGGCAACAATGTGAACAATATTTTGTTTACTGCACTCTTAACGCAGTACGTCACCCGATGTGACGTAATACGGGAAAATAAAGTGACGTCACATAGTGTCCGACGTATGGCGTTCGCGTGAAATAGAACACCTTTTAGGCATGCGCAATAGTATTTCCACATTCAACACTCTAAACTAGCCTGCGACTGGTGCTAATCAGTAATGGTTACTGAGGACAGGGAAATATTGCGAGGATATACTGTATGTAATATATGTATGTATATGTGAACAAAATATACAAGCAGATTAAAATGAAAAGGATAGAGTAGTTGAATTTCTTGCACTGTGCCATCAAAAGTCGGGTTGACGGATCCGTGAAATTCACTGATACTATAGAGCTCGTCAAATATGAGAGATAAAAGTAGTTGTATATAACACACGAAGCTCAAACGTCTCTGACTGCAAACAATGGTTTATTTCATGACGTTACAAGCAGTTTGTGTGTATTGTGGTGTAGTATCAGCGTAATACTCATCAATACATTAAGCTCGTGGGAAAAATTCTCGAACTCTCTTGCGATCAATTTTAACTTGTCCACACTTTATGGTATTGACAAGGAGAATTGTGCGCGTCGAATTATTGCATGTATTCACATGTAGCGAAGATACTTAATAGATAATATCGCCCCATACGAATAATATAATAAAACGAAAGTAGCATGGGCGCTGTTTAACGAAATTCTTATTTCGCTTAGTTATACGGTTCATAATACAATGTATACGTGTTTTTATACGACATTCCATAAAATAAAACAATGAACTGCCACCCTTCCTCTCAACAAAGCCCGTTCTGATTTGTGTCAAGTTAATACACGAGTACATTTTTAATAATTAATATATTATTTGAAACTTCACAACGGTTGTACGGTCATTGGTACAATGGTGTGGTATGTATGCTCATACAAGTGCTATTTCATTCAACATGTTCTGGTAGGCGGGCTTCAATGCAGGAGATGGTTTAACATACTTGACAGTAGACGGTTCTCTGACGGATGAAATAGTGAATATAGAAACCACTTCCAACGTAGGTGTGAATGGACGATACGTTTTTCAGGTTGATGGGAGGGATGTAAAAGGAATTGGATGCAATACAGGAGGTACGAACAAAGAAGATTATATATATATATAAATAATATAAATCACAATAGAAAGGTAGTTAAAAAAAAGAGCTGTCTGATGTATTATGCACAACAAAATAGTCCTATGACTTGTTTTTTAAAAAAGCCACTTACTGTGTGGCTCACTGTGAGGTTTAGAGTACTGATCTGTGCAATTTATTTCTGATCTTTGTTCGCGCTGTTGTATGGTCAAAATGGTTCCAAATCGTGCCTGACGAGATGCACAATACTATTTCATTTAAGGGGATTTCGGTAAGAGCTGAATCTTAGGTGACTTTTGATTTATTCTAACTGATTTTAGAATTGATTCTAGGCATTTGTGTCTGTTTATTGTGTATATATATATATTCTTTTGTTTTTGTGTTTCTGAACTTGTCAACATCTTTTACGAATTATAAACATTGTTTCTTTTATTATGTGGAACATCCCATACAATAATGACGAGGCTCTAGTAAAGCAGTTTTTATCACGCATGACATATATTACCGACTATATATTAGATTATACAGTATTGAAAAATTACATTGCATGTAATGTGTTCCTCAATTATCCATATATAACCACGCTATCTTATTTTTAGGATCCTTAGCGGTATATCCATTAAGTGGTTCGATGTTAGGTGGTGAACACATAAACATCGCAGGTGTATGTTTTAATGATTCAACAACTTTGCCGCAAATTAAATGTAAATTCGGTAACACCGAAACAATAGGGAACATAGAGAGCATACATGATCCAGTAAAAGTATCGTGTATTACACCTATTTTTTATGAGATCGGGAGATTACATATTCAGGTGTCGATAGATGATGGTACCACATATCCATACAGCGGAATATTTACTGTAGGTATGTATACACATTTGGGGGTGTTGAATTGATTAAGTGGTAGATTGGTCAAGTGGTTTTGTCGCCATGTTGGAATGAATGCGAACTCATAAATCTCCATTACGCCTACTTGCCAATGCATTAGAAACTTGAAAACTTCGTTACAGAGCCTGTTCAACAAATATATGTTAATCTGTCGATCATCTTGGATATACTAAAAAAAAGCAAAACAAATAAATTTCTTATTGCAAAAAAAAAAAAAAACATTATTGAAATCGAAGAGTTTCTTAGAAACGTCTTGACTGATCTGCTATTTGATTTATAACGTCTACATATCGAAATATTCCAACTCTGAAAAGTCTACATTAATTGGTCATGTGACTTAGGGTCATATAGATTCAAAGAAAACTCGAAAATGCTTTATTTTGCATACTACTATTGATCCAGGGAATCTGAAACAATTGTTGTAGCAGCACTTCCACTATGGCTAACAATTAAATGAATGCAAACTATTTTTAGAGCTACAGTAAGTTTTGACGTCATATTTGACATTCCAAAAAACGGCAAAAAACGCATATAAATGAGAAAAAAAAACACTGAACACATTGAACTATAATTTGATTGTAAGCTATACCAACTATATTAAATTGTTTTATGATCAGTTATATGTTTGGCCGCCATCTTGAATTAAAATTGAAATGGAAATATTTTTACTTTTTGATTGGAATCGCTTATCAAATGACTCAGACTTAGGAGATCTGTGATGTACATTACTCAAAATTGTTAACACATTGTATTTTCTGCAAAATCAGTACAAAACGCCAAAATCCATTCCTTCAGAATCGTATGGATGTGCTATGTTAGATCTGACACACACATAATATTATGTCCCATGGTTAGGCTATTATAATGTGTTACAATAATGACATGCTATTTTAAAATTTCTCAGAAACAAATCAACCAATTGATCTGATATTTAGTTTGTTGTAGTATCATGGGGGCGCATAAATACTTCCCATTGTGTAAAACTATTTTATTTCAGTGAACATTGAAAAAACAGCAAATCTAGTTACAAGAACAAACATGGCCGACTGGATTGATCATTCGATTAACACTGTTGAAATCCAATGGGATAGCTCTCTGTTACCATCGACGTATGTGGATATTAAATTATATGGCTACGTGGAAGACCATCAGTCTGGTGAATATGGTTGGGTTGACACTGGTGCGGGTCAAAGTAAACATGAAAACGAAGGGAGTTTTACCTTTCATAAATCATCAACCAGTCCAAGCTCCCTGTTTAGTATTGGTGCATTTCGTATATCAGGACATGACGAGGAAAATTCCGACGACACGTGAGTAAACTCGATGATAAGATAGACGACACTATATTTGTTTGGATTTCCCGCGACATTTGCCGTTCGTATTCAACTAGTACTGTTTTTGAAAAACCTCTGGTCTAAAAATAGAGGGAATACAGACTGATGACTGTAGCCTGAATAGTCGTTTGAAAACACAGAAAAACTAAAGTCGTATTGGCACTGAAATTCTTGTAACGAGTTGTTACAATTCTTGTTACAATGTCACAGAGAATCACGGCTTCACCTACGGACTCAATCACATTTCAAAATGGAGGCTCAGCTAAAGCATTTCTAAAAAATCCACAAAAGCGTGGTCGTATATATCGCGATGCGTACTGGGTAAATTTATAAAGGGTGAATACATTTAATACGAATAAGTTGTAGTTAGATTTGCGCAGTCGCAATAGATTGCAACTTTAGAGATGTATTTTAACAGCCAAACGCGGCATATTATATGCCAACTCAGCTTGTATGTGACAGACAAAAGTGTTGTTTCAGCTCCAACAAGAGTCTTCTTTCAGTTAAAAATGTAATATTCCATGTTGTTCCCACTCTTTCCAGAAAATTCCGTGCATTGTGGAGTGAAATTCACGAGCTGTCATGGGCATATGGCATTGATTCAGAAGAGTGGTGCTACGACTGGCATAAACGCGAAGGAAACGTTTTGCCATCGCCCGACGATACCGTGCCTTGTCCCTGTACTCTACAGCAAGCTCTTGCTGATATCGGACGCTATTCGCCGCATCCACGCTGTCAGACGAGGTCTGGAACACATGATAACTGTGTTGATATGCCGGGTGCAGTGCATTGTATACGAGCTAATGTACCAAGGTAATACAGGATTGAATATTCATAGGTATATGTAGTAGTCGTTACTGCTGTAGACCTGAATTCATTTCAATTGATGACAGGAATTATGTGAACAAAACAACCAGGTCATGTGGCCATGACGCAATAATACTAATTCAATTGTTGTCAGGGTCAGCGAAGTTAAGTATTAATTTACTGTTATAACAAGAAAATATATAATATATATAGAGATAGTGGAATGTGTGTGCTAAGTTTAAATTTGCCCTGTACTGGATTTGACCATGCCATTTTGGGCGAATATTTTTGGCTTACTTCAACAAATGACTCAATTAAGAAATAATCTGTGTACTTGAGCTTGACAAGACACCGACATTTTAATAAGATAATTTGGCCAATCTGAATACATTACGTAGAAAAACATTTTAAAATTTGTGGTCCATGTAATGATTTAGTTTAATCTATTCAAGTGTACCAAAAAAAGCATGTCGTATTTTCTTCCAGTAATGACGGAAGTGGACGTGCATGTTGCTACCAAGCCGATGGGACTATTTTGAATTCAGGAGACACGTTTGGTGCAGGAACCTACCATCTCAGACATCACGAAGGTGTTACGCCTTATAAGGAAGTAGGCAAAATACCTTACCTGTCGAACTTCCTGGAAGATATGTTACCTTGGAGATACTGTTGTCTGCACACAGACTTCGATGCAGCGAATTGTGGCAAGTTCTTTGAAAGAAGACCGTCACATGACTGTTCTGGATATGAAGCTCCACGTCCGGGTAACACATACAATTCCTAATCCGCGATTTCTGTGCTGCATGCAACATACATATATCGTTGCTTTGAACTTTCGCTTTCTATTAATTGTCGTGGAGGGCACTACCTATCGTGTATCGCACCGTGACAAACAAGTGTTACACGTTTGTACAATATCAAAATTAGGGAGCCATGTGCAGATACAATTTAACGACAAAATGAATGTCAAGGCGCAGTAATTCTTTCTTTTTGTAAGTCTTTACAATTCATAGCCTCTGAACACTTGGCCATTGCATGGAATCATTGAACAGCGGTGGTATATTTCAAACAAAGTGGGGAACAAATGAATGGCAACATAAAGGGGCTCATGTTTGACATGAATTCATTGTAATCACGTGACTCTTTAAGGTAGAGATGCAGATTCGTGGGCACTTGGGAGTGAATTTTTTGTACAATTGTGAATATTGAAACATAATCAAAAGACGATTTTAAAATATAGATAACAGGTGCAAACATTCTCCCCTATAAATGCTTAGCAAGATTTAGCAAAGCTGTACATAAATAATAAAAAAGAAACATGGTGAAAAAAAAGAAATGACGAGATCTCCATACTATGCACTATATTTAACTTTTTACAGAACGATAATACATTTAAATTTGGAACTGTTACAGCCATTTTAAATATGAGCATTAGCAAACTTCTTACTGAGTGAATTGCAAATTAGCAATTATCTCAGCTTCCTTTTAGTGCACATCCAAGAACTTTAAAAAATAGTTCCTAGACGCTTTGACCTTTTGTTTTGAGAATTTCACAAATGATTGACAATGTGTTTATCTTCAAAACGCCGTCGGGCATTGTTTTTGGTTGAACAGGGTTACAACAATCGTACAGACAACTAGCCTGGGTGTTAATGTATGCATAAACATGAAGTAGTGTCATTTGAGCTGCTGCCCTGCAAAATTGACAACTGGTATACAGTTTTCAAGACGGCACTTTCTTCATAGTAAACAGATGTACTTGTAAACCAATTTTGACAGGAAACAGAACCATGCTTAGAAGCTGTTGTTTAACTTCTGTTTTGACCAAAAAACAAAAACAAACACATTTTTGTGCTTATTTGAAACTACAATGTCCATAAAAAAAATACTAACACAATTTTATAATTCATTCAATAAGCTTCCCAAAAAATATATAGTTTTGTGGACAAGGGAGGTCATCTTGGTTTCCTAATTAACTAATTAAAATACCTGTCAGATAAACTGCATCTCTACCTTAATATTTCAATGACAGCTTAATGTATCGTATTACAGCTACGTGGTTCGGAGACCCTCATTTGATAACATTGGATGGATATGATTATACCTTCAATGGATTCGGAGAATTCACTCTGCTTGTTATAAATAACGGAAGTTTCAAACTACAAGGCCGTATGGAACCCTTGGCAGATAATTGTAATATTTATTTATTTATTTATTTATTTATTTATTTATTTATTTATTTATTTATTTATTTATTTATTTATTTATTTATTTATTTATTTATTTATTTATTTATTTATTTATTTATTCTCAGTGTGTAGAATTACTTTATATATACAATATATATTTACAGCTGTTGCAACAGTATTCACTGCTATGGCAATGCAAACGAATATGTCTGATACTATACATATTGCAAGAGAAAGAGATTTCCTTGATGCTTATGTAAGACTGAAAGATCAACAAACATGGCAAATAGTGAAGTTTGAAGAGAATCTTTGGTGGGATTATAACGGTAATGGTAATGAGGAGTTGTTAGTGAAAATGTCAGAAAATTATGTTTTGCTTCGCTTCTCGTGTACACACAATATTGTTTATTATGTAACTTTATACAATATACGCAATCACGTCTTTCTAATATTTAACAGGAGTTTCAGTTTACAAAACGAATGGTACAGACAAAATCAATGTGATCTTCCAATCCGGGATATCTATTGATGTTTCAATAGCAGGAAAAGCATTGTCTACTGTAATTCTTGCACCATCTACCTTCAAAAACCAGACAGTCGGATTAATGGGTACTTGGAATGACAACAAAGATGATGATCTTCGCACGCCTGATGGAGATTATGTATCGGTGTTTTCCTCAACTGAGCAGATCCATCATGACTTTGGCTTGAAATGTAAGTATCACACATTTGAGTGCGCTTATTAAATGTTCATATTCATTTAACTTAGGACAGCGAATCAAAACTGTATACATCAGATTAACACACGATTCATACTGAGACGATATTTTTGCCATCGAGTTACGGACATCGAGTTATGAGTATCGAGTTACGGATTCAAAAATGACCACGCCCATTTTCAAAAACCATGCGCATTTTGCGAAACCACGCCCAAATTGTAACTCGATGTTCAATTAACAGTTCAATTAATCAAACTTCGAGTTACGGGCAGCATACATTTTTTTGTTTAACGTTGTATATTTTCCGTAATTCAAAGTTCGGTTAACTGATAATTAAAATTCGAGTTAGTAAATTAGAACTTTAAACAAAAACAAAAACAAATCAATGTTGCCCGTAACTCAAAACTCAGTAGACTATGGATAAACTATGGATCAAAAGCTATTATTTGAAAAGCGAATCCGTGATATACACGTTGAATTTGCAAACAAGGAAAGTAAAGTTGTCGACCATGACAGATTATTACATTCATTCAATTTAATAAATATATAGATGATAGTATGGTAATGTTTTAAGGTGTATTACAGATTTGATTGCTATAATGGTAACCATCTCAGACGACGTATTTTCTATATGTACTAATTCTT